TAGCCTGCATATCGCTCAGGGCGATGGGTCAGGGTAAATGAATACAACTCAACTCAACTCAACTCAATCAAGGCTGCCAGAATCATTCCGAAACAAGATCGGTTTACATCGAGGCATAAAGCAAGCTAAGAAAAGCAATCCTCAACAGCACCGTCTATGCGGAGTGTGCGAGTGGATCTGCTCCACTTCCAAAATTCTCAAGTTCCGCAAGGAGTTTGATCCCCGAAATCACTTTGATTTCAAGCCACATGACCGGGAAAGTTACGAACATCATGCAACCGCAAAAGCACTGAAGGATACCGCCGAAAATGGATGCCATCTTTGTACCCTCATTTGGGCATCTCTAAGCCCTGAACAGCAGAGGACTCTGCTTGATATTGATGCTGATTTAGAGGCTAAACTCACAAGAGAGTTGGAAAGGGAGGGGGCACGACCTCCAGAAAATATTGCAAATCAGCGACGTATCCGGCTTGTGTTAGAGAAATTCTACGGGGATGTAGCGCCTACACAACCAGACCATGTTCTTCAGGAGACACACCCACTAAATATCACAGTTGGTGTTAAGCTCAAGCCACACTTTGGCGGCTGCAGGATGGCTCGCAGATGGAGTCCAAAAAACCAGCTATCCGAAACCAAGAGGTTTTTCGAGGAAGGCGAATTCACACGGCCAATCTACATTCTACCATCTCTATCTGAGAGGGAATTTATAACGTCGCAGACATTCAAAAACACTGGCTCAGATGAGACTATCTATTATATCTCAGACTGGTTGAAAAGAACCGAACCCACAGTTCTAGAAACAAATAGTTTCCTACCTGGGAGACTTATCGATGTCAGAGGATCAAAACGAAACGGCTTTGTCCGAGTGCTCTCCAGCGAAGAGATTAAAAGGAAAGACCCGTATGACCTGAGATATGCTGCATTAAGTCACTGTTGGGGCAAAACAGAATTCCTGAAGCTTGAAAAGGACAAAATTGAGGAGTTCTCCATAGGCATTGCTATGGCCCGAACCGGCATGCCGAAGAACTTTAAAGAGGCTATACAAGTCACTGAAAGGCTTGGGATTCCTTTCATTTGGATCGATTCGCTCTGTATTGTCCAAGATGACAAACAAGATTGGAAGATCGAGGCGGCAAAAATGAAGGATGTTTATCGGTGTGCTACGTTCACAATCGTGGCAGCAAGCGCAGCGGACAGTAGCGGTGGGCTTTTCCGTGATCAGCATCCACTTCATGCTAGTCCATGTCTGGTGTCCGTTCAGTCAAGGTTATTTCGCCGACCAATCCTTCACTACGCATTGCCGTCCCACCTGGACACCCGAATGCTGCGAAACATGGAAATCGAATCAACAACCTGGAACTCCCGCGGGTGGTGTTTACAAGAGCGCTACCTTTCGCCACGATTGGTGTATTTCAGCGAGTTGCAAGTACACCTTGAGTCAAAAGATATACACAGATCTTTGGCTCAGTACCGGGAGCTGAAATCACAGTATGACTGGATTGAATCTTTCAAGGAGAATCCTAGACTTCGAGGGCACTCGTTCCAGCTCAAGAAGCGCCAGGTACCTATATTGGTCCGGTGGTGGGAGTACGTGACAGAATATTCAAAACGCAATCTTACCAAGGCTGAAGACAAGCCTATCGCTATCGATGGACTAGCAAAACTCCTCATTTCTGAAAATACACCTCAGGATGCCCTTCCCACAGTGGGAGAGATTGAAGATCAAGCAGATCCTCAATTCTCCGATACATTCACGCTCGATCTCCTTTGGTACGTCGAAAGAGGCAAGAGATCCCGTCCGAAGCCAGTAGAACCAGAAAAATCATCACCCTCCTGGTCTTGGATTTCAGTTGATGGTGAAGTCTTTAACGATTCTGCTGGATCTTCTTGCACCAATACGCTCATCAAAGATGTCGAGTTCAAAACTTCAATCTTCCATGGCAAAAAAGCAAATGACTGGAAAACCGTCACACCAATGCTGCTGTCTGGGCGCGTAGGCCTCAAGCTACATGGTCGCCTGAGAAAAGCAAAATGGTCCAAGCCTGCGAATGACTTGTTCTATGCCCCTCGGCAAAGCAGCGCAGAAGCCCTGTTCTACTATAATGATGTTATAGATAAAAACATCACAATAGAAGGGAAAGGAAACGCACAGATTCAATCATTTACAGTGTTTAAACCAGTCTCTGATGTGGAGCATGTAGGTCCAGCAGTGTATCACTTGCTCGATAACCAGAGCACGAAAGTCGGCTGGGTGGTTCCAGACACGGATGATGAGCTCCCCGGTCAGCTTTATTGCCTCCAGTTCCTCATTGAGCCAGCTACAGAACTCGAGAAGAAGTCTTTGGCCAGCACGTGGACGATTCGAGGCCTTGTTTTGCAATCAAGCGGGCAGGACACTGACAGTCCAAATCCACGCCACTTCAAGCGCGTCGGGTATTTTGAGCTCGATCAACCTCCTTGTCGCATACGCATTCCCAGTCTAATGGAATTCCTGGAGAACAATAAGCAAGAGTGGAAATCTCGTTATCCAGTTGTAAGAGAACCTCCTGCTATTGATCCGGCTGGATTTTTCTCTGAAGGTAATTATGAAGAGAGGGAGATAGTGATTTGGTAGCGGTGAGAGGTCAGTCTCTTATGCGATGATCGAAGTGTTGGGGTTCCCAAGCCAGAAGACATCGGGAACCACTGTTTTGGCATACATAAGTAGCGATTGTGAATGGAATGCGAAATGTCGTTTTGCGTCAATTTAACTATAGCCGTGACATCGCTGTGGCCGTTGTTCTGTTGCGGTGGAAAACATGTGGTGCGGACACAACATCTGAGATCCGCTTACTTTACCCCGCATTCCAAGGCTTAGTTATGCAGCACAGCCTTGTTGGACGTTACACAACTTTTAGATCTGTTCGGTTAAGCGCCAGTACTTAAGATGAGATGAGGCCCCCCTCCATTCACGCCTAGCCGCCACTTTGTCCATTACTCTCTCGACCATGCGGCTCCTTAATACGCACACAAGTCGACTCGAAGAATTCACGGACGATACAATACCCTCATATGTCATTCTTTCTCACAGATGGCAAAACGAAGAGGTGCTCTTCGATGACTGGATCAGCGGCCGGGCGCACGAAAAAGCGGGGTTTGGGAAAATCGAGGGCGCCCGCAAGCAGGCAGCTGCGCGTGGTTTCAAGTACATTTGGGCCGACACTTTCTGCATAGACAAGCGCAGCAGTTCTGAACTATCAGAAGCGATCAATTCTATGTTCAACTGGTACAAGAATGCTGATGTTTGCTATGCCTACCTTGTCGACGTTCCGGACAGGTTGGAGTCACACAGTGACCCTCTTTTCGCCCAGAGTGAATGGTTCCAGAGAGGATGGACGTTGCAAGAATTGGTTGCGCCTAAGAAAATGATTTTTTTCTCTAATGGATGGGTAGAAATTGGGTCAAAGGTCTCACTGCAACATGTATTATCGGCCATTACAGGTATCGAGATCGGAGTACTCACTTATACCACAGACCTCTACTCAGTTAGTGTGGCGAAACGCATGTCCTGGGCTGCAAACAGGAGAACAACAAGAATCGAAGATACTGCCTATTGTCTTATGGGCTTGTTTAATGTCAACATGCCGATGATATATGGCGAGGGTCTAAAATCTTTCGTACGGTTACAAGAAGAGATTATACGAAACTCCGATGACGAGTCGCTCTTTGCATGGACAGATCCAGAGGCTTCCCCGCTTACACCCTGTGGATTGCTGGCCACTTCTCCAAGGCACTTTGCTCAGTGCGGAGAAGTATCCTCATACCATTCATGGGATGGCCAGCTTCCATTTTCCAAGACAAACAAAGGCTTCCGGATATCACTACCGCTTGATCCTGTAGGAGACGATGTATACCTTGCTACCCTAAACTGTCGAGTGTCAGGAGAACATGAAGGCGTCATCGGTATCTATCTGAAGCAGCTGGGCTGGAGTGCTTTAGACCACAGGGAGGATCAGTACGCCAGAATCAACACAAACAAACTCGCCAACCCAAAGCGACGTGGTGGCGTTCGGCATCTTTACGTGCTGCAGCAAATCGTCAAGACCACTGTTTCAAAGAACATATTCCTGGAGCACATTCTCAAGATAAACAAAAACGTACACTCCCGAGACATTGGTGCGAGAGAAAGCCCCTACTGTAACCTACTGGCTCTCGATTCCAACAACAACAGCGAAGTTTATTTCCGTTTCCAGAATTTTGCAACGTTTAGTCTGGACAAAAGTGGTGTCGGCCAGTTGGTGGCTGTCACAGTCTTTCAACGCAGGAACAAATCTAAATTTGCCGTTCTTTTCGGAGCTGCAACCAATCGTGGCGTGGCCGTGCAGTTTATCCCTAATTTTGGAGAGCTGTTGGATATGACATTCTCCGCACTCGAAAAGATTTTCGAGCCTCAATTGCCCGGCCAGGACGTTGTTCTCGGCGGCGAGATGTTTCGGGTCGACATATTGACATATGTGAAAGGCCAAACGAAGATCTTCGAGGCAAAAATCTCTATCGCTGTCATTGACGACTCGGAAATTCCAGGAAGTCAGCCTGAACCGTATAGTTCGCCATTGCGACAAGAAGAATCAGATATTCCAAATGGTCAGTCTAAACCGAATGGGCTGACAGCGCATTACGAAGAAGAGGCAACAAGCGCAAGATGGAGATACTTTTGCTGTCTGTAAACTGTTTGTGATAGCATAAGAAAGGAAGTCTCATACCGGACCGCTCAATGTGCCCGGCCGACAGTATAGTTTACCAGGAGCGTTGGCCTGGGATAGGTGCACTCACCGGGGTATTGCCAGCACTAAGGACAAGCAAGAATAAACATAGTTGTTTTCTCATCCGAAGTTGACCACCTTTTTATCACAATCGCCCTCGTCGAAAGCCATACGGAACATATAGTCGAAAATTTCTCCATGGAAAAAAGGCCGAGAAATGGACAAGTTGCCGAGTCTCCTAGGCTCACAATTTGTCCTTGGTGATGAAGATCGCGTCTGGCCTCTCAGTGGCAGGATAAGGGCTGCAGGAACATGGATGCCGAAAAGCGAAGAGCTAGCTAGAGTCCGTCCGCCCATACGCACACGGCTAAGAGTCTCACGCTCTCCGCTATCCGGCCTATTCGTCAATTTGAGACTGGAAGGGACATGGTCTCTACTTTCGAGAACAACCACTCACCATCTCCTCAAGCACGGTATGCCAACCACCTCATCCCGTACCCGAATCCCCCGCGACAACTCCATACGCCACTCTACAGCTGCCCAGACGGCTCAGATCAACCAGCAAAGTATGATTTTCAGAAGCGACCACAACGCCCTGTTCATTGTATACGACTCTGCTTGTGGAAGCCTACGAGTCTGGCGTGGCGTCGTTGGCGCGACCGGGCGTTCGGCCAGCCGGGTACGATGCGGCGGCGATGAGCGGCATGGACTTAGTGTTCGGACAGGACTAGCTGCAACAGCAGCGCAGCGAACGAGATGTCTGAGATGCGCGGTGATGACGCTGGCGATATCATTGTCATGGTAGTGATGAACACGATGACGAGCAAGGCAGTCGGTCGCGGCGGACCTGGACAGCGGAGCCAAGCAAAAGGACTCCGCTCGCTTAAGGCTGCCGCCCCGCTCCACTCCACCCCACTCTTAACTCCGTGCTTCCACACAAACACGACACAGTCGACCGGCGCGCAAAAAGAGAAAAGATAATCGACGTCTAGCTGCGAATGGTTTCGATCCATTGTCCTCCGGGTTATGAGCCCGGCGCGCTTCCGCTGCGCCACGCAGCTTTTTCAGACGTTGATGGTTTAAATTTTCAAAAAGGATTCTATGTTACAATAGACAAGATTTCAGTTTGTACTATGTAGAAATGCATCGAAAACCCAGATGTTCATTGCTATGGTCATTGCTTGAGTACGTTGAAGGGTAGTGTTCGTTGGTAATCGAACCGTCCCCTTTTCAGATAGGGATATGTGGGCAATTTGAACGTGAATTATCGAGATATCTCCTTTTTATTTTAATCTTACAAACCTCCATTTTATCTTTGCCAATCCAATATCAAAAAGATCTGCCCAATCTACACGCCCGGAAGGGAGGATTCCAAAACCAACCCGTCTTGAGATTCCTGCTTTATTTTTCACACCCAACACAAAGTTCGATGATATAAAACGAGAGATGAGTATAAACTCATCGACCTTCTCGTATTTAGTATCGAATCGAAAGATACCCGAGCGCCCTTTAAATATCCATTCAAATTCCGATTCAAAGTCGAACACATCCTCGAATGGTACAGATAAGCATGGAGCCCGGAACCCGAGCTCCCCTGCTGTGAGGGTAGCAGGCAGTAGTGCCCCTTCTCTGCCTTGTTCCACTGTCTTGCCTGTGAAGATTGCGACCAAGTTTATACCTCTGGGTTTGCGTAGATATTCATCTCGCGTACGGTATTTCCGGGACCTGGAGCCATCGCAAAGATACCATTTGTCTACAAAGGAGTAGTCCGTTCGGAAGTACATTGCGTAGACGATTGAGTAGCTCGCATTATCCACGTGGATAAAGTCAATGGGAGCAATGAGAGAAGCCCATGACCAGGTTGAAATTCCGGGCCGTTTGTTGATTTGGTCATCGCTGTTAGTCGAGTGTGCAGGAAACCAATACAAAGCTTCAGGAAAGAATTGGGCCGGAATGCCCTGTGAGATATTAATCTCCCGTTCGGCACCATTTTTCGACTTCGAAAAACGCCGGTAGATACCCGTAAATGCGTTAAGTATATCCTCGGAATACCTTAACTCTCTTATACTGTAGTCTGAGACGGCAGATGCGAATGCGTTTAAACCCGAACTATAGTTGTAGTCTTGTCCCATGTAAGGTAGACTAGGGACCAATAATGGATCTGGATCCCAGCTTACGTTGTTGTTCCACCAAGGAGGGCTATATCTGAACCATAACTCCTTAGAGAGAAGTTCTAGATTTTCAATTCGTTCCAGGCTGTAACCTTCTCTTCGGTCTCTCCCAGAGCCTTGGAAAAACACCTCATCTTGCGTAAAGTACAAATGGCGTCTTGAGAGACACATCTCTTGGTAAGTCCATCCTCTGGTATTCCAGTAGCTTGCCCGGATTTGTTCGATAAGACAGGGACGGCAGATGGCAGCCTTCAACGTGCCGTCTGTAGTAGGGAGAGAAAACTTTCTCTCAAACCGAAAATTTGTGCGAGACGTTACTCCAGGAAGCCCAGCTTCTGCGTCAATGCCAGAAGCAGCTATAAGAGTCAAAATGGCGTTTTCGTAGACATGGTTCATGCCATGAATCAGCCTTCTTTTCTCATCTATATCGTCCTGGATGATGCATAAAGCATCGACCCATAGATATCTTTGACCGATGTTGCGAGTAAATTTTATCGCGTCCCTAATCGTCCGAGGTAGCCTTTTGCCAACAAACCTTGAGGCGCTTTCTGTGCTCAAAGATTTTGGCTGACTGAGTGCGACCACGTTGCTTTTAGTGGTTATGATTGCAGGGGGGTCCAGATTTCCCCAAACGTAGGATAATGCCAGATACTGACAAAGCTCGGGTTTCTGCACCAGGCACTCTTCCAGCACATCAATAACCCGAAATCCGTACTGAATTATGGGTGTTTTCGTTTTCATTTCAATATCGTCAAGAGTCTTGGAATCCTCGAGCCACTGGACGGCAAGTTTTGTATCGAAAACAGGGCCAATAGCACGCCGCGGTGCGTGTCTGGTTGTACTTGAGGCAAGTTCCAGCTCGGCCAGAATGAAAAGATTTCTATCGTTCCACCGGTTGGTTCGTCGCGTCCTTGGTTGGAACCTTGGAGGGTCCTGTGTGATTGCAAGAAGTGGTCGATAATATGCATACGTTTTCTTGCCGCCCTTTTTTTGATAGGTCAACCACTCTTTGCTTTGAAAGAAACAACAATGGCTGCATTTCTTCGTTAATTTCAGGCTTTTCATCTGCCCAGTGAATATGGATCGCTGCCCAGATTAGACTACAGAACGGACATAGCTCGTCCTTAAAGTCATCTAAGTACCCAATAAAAGTTTCTTCGACTTTGGTTTTGAACATAGGCTTCAGATCTATCTTGGAGCATGTTCCGCAGAGCTCGGGGTTTTGTGGATTTTGATTTCCAGTATCCTTTTTTGGAAAATGCTTGGACGCGAGGTAGTCGATGGAGGATTGATTTAGTGAGTCCAAGCGGTGTCGTTTTTGGACGCTTGTGCCAAGAGGACTTTCGGCGCGTCGCTTGGCCATCTCGTACCAATGAACTGTATTGATGATGTTTGAGTTCAGAAGGAATGAAATGAGACATTTCCTGCTCTTTAATGTGTACTCCTCATGATAGTTTGCTCAGCCCCCCTCTTAAGTTTTGAGCAGAGCATCGGAGTCTCCAGACTCCTGGATATGTAGTCTAGAAACCGGAAGCGACTACCTTCGAGAGTCTTTGCGGTTCACAGTTCTTTTTAGCGTGTCCCTGCCACTTTAAAATGGAATTTCGTCCGTCGCTTGCAGACTTTCGTTATCTCCAACAGCAAGATGGTCTCGGTGAGCACTTTCACGTAACCTGGTGGCGGGATCATCAACGTACGTATGACCGGCGACATCCTTCAAAGCCTCAGCCCCAAGGGTACGCGTTGAGCTGATGCGGGGTTGGCTGCAGGCGTTTTCGAGGCAACCAATTACGCCCGCCCACCTCATGTTTGATGGTGAGAGCTAATGCACCAGCAATTTACCTGGCTGCACCAGACCATTTTGGGCTGACCGGTCGCCCAAGGCATACCAAAGTCAGCCTCGCGCTGATAGTTGGATTCAGCCTTCCCCAGGTTGCGTTTGTGTGGCCGAGTTCATCTGTCCTGGAGAGCCAATGCGGACGGCAGCTCACAAGCCAGAAACTTGACAAAAGGAAAGCCGTTACTTGCGAAGCCAATGCGAACTGTTGCCCAAAGAGAAGTCCTGTGGTCCCCTTGGCATTGTTCGTACTGAGTTAAACTAGCATTGCTTAGTGACTCAACACTCATTTCCTTTTCAAGACTGCACTGGGACCCTGTTAAGCACACCAAGCAAATTCTTATGCTGGCCGGAAAAGATCAGCTATTAAGTGTTTGAGATGGGTGACAACAGCCTTTACCGAGTCAGACCTCTCCTGTCTTCGTCTAAGCACTTCCCAGGCTGGATATGTATAGCTGAACAGAGTGACATTGCGTCTCTTCGAAAAAGGCCGGAACTTCGAAATTGCCCAGGTCTTTTCAAGTCATCTTCCGACTTACCTATGTCCGTGAATCGTGATATCAGTTGCCTCTCAGCCCTCTCGCTATCAATGCCAGCTTCGTCTCATGTTGAGGCGCAGTGAAAGGATGCCTAGCGGGTGTAGAGACCGAGTTTGTAGACACTTTCCAGTGATGTCCGCAAAGGTTAGGCTGCGATAGACGTGGGCCTGATCAGCTTCCACAACCATAATAACTTCCCTCGTTTATCATCGGCTTGGAACTGCAGCAGCTATAGCTTCCAGCCAGATGTACGGCTTCGAAAAGCGTCGAGCCGCGGTGCGTCCTATTTGCATGCCAACGTCTCCTCGCATTATCGTTCCAGCACCGCCCATTGTAGCCGATCTGGCTCTCACGCCCGACTCAGGCAACCGTAGGATATTGTGATGTCATCCGAAGTATGCGTGAAGTTGAGAACATGGACGATCAATGCAACTCCACCAACGCGAAGCCAGAGCCGTTGATCGTCGACGTTGCATCCTCACCAACGTACCGCATGCCTCCTCCAGATGTTTGTATCGTTATCGTATCGAGCAAATATTGTTCGTGGCACGTATACGCGGGCCGAAGGGGTGGCAGGACGAGGCCGTCGGTCGTACGGCTGACGGTGGCGCGCTCAGCCGGGCGCGACGACGGAGCGGGTGAGAGCGAGGGGGAGGAGAGGTTGACCGCGGCGGAGACAAGGCATCGCGCGATGTAGAGACGGGGCGTAGCGATGGTGTCGTCAATGGGCGGTGCGGTTGTGGTTGGGGTTTTGTTGTTTGTTGACTTGCGGAGTGCGGGGTTGCGGGGTAGCGAGACTTGTCTCGATTTGGACTAGCCTTTCCTGCCAAAAACAACATCTGAACATCTCCATGTGATCCTCCAACTCTCGTGCCGCCAAGATGCATGCTCGACAGCATCACCACCTCCATATCACTGGGACTGAGCCGGGCTCAAGCACCGGTGCACAGGTGTCCAGGCTTGCGGCTGTGGAGTCCTTAGCCAACCTTCATCCACACACCCTCAAGTCTGCAACATCAATCGACGACAAGCCCGGCCACACAACCAACTAAAAAGTCCATACTCTCAACCTCACAAGTTTAAAAGAACATAAACACTGTGGAACCCCCAGCGTCGCACATCAAAGTCTAAGCGAAGGCATCATTCAGCTGTCCTTATCTCGTCTCACTGCAAGGTCACACCATTATCACGTGCAGAAGACAGCCGGCAAAACAGGGATGCACAGCTGATCTCAGCAGGCGGTAGATTGGCGAAAATTCTTTGGGCCTGAGTTGAGAGTTTAGTGCCACGCGCCGGCGTCTCCGCATTGCACTTCGTCTTCGTATGGACGCGCTGATCTGTCTTTGCGCCTTTGCGGGGCCATTTTCTCCACTCTCCCATTCATTCTTCTTACTTTTGACTAGTGGGTGTTAGCCTCTATTGCTCTGCTCTTTGCGTTTCAGGGCGAAAGCCTGGTTACTGGCGGTCGCCCGATCGGACCTTCACTTGTCTGTTCTTTCTAAACGCAGCTGGTCCAATCATTTGCCGCCTTTCGAGAGAATCCTCCGGCTCAATATTTCTATTTCTTCATGAGATTAGCAGGCCTATCCGATCTCCCCGATGGCATTGCCGACTTATTCGGTATCCTGCATCAGGACGTTGGTAAAGGCTAGTTCTTTTATTCCGGTTGGGCCATCCTGCGTAGGTGACCTACACAAAAAAGTTCCCGTGCGAACTCACAACTGGGTGCTTGGCCCTGGATTATCATATCTCTCCGGATTCGGCAAACGGAATGCCCACAACGTCGGCTTCGATCGGCTATTGAGACAACGGAACAAACCTGACCGACCAGTATTTGAAGCATACCCCTACTATAATCGACCGCTCCCTGCTCACAACTCAATACGTCTACTCGCTTTGCATCCAGGACTTCCTGGAGATAGTAAGATTACGACCTCTCTTGAAGTCGCAGATTTCGAAACACTCCCATATGAGGCGCTTTCATACGTGTGGGATGATCCGTCCGCTTTGAATTACCTAAAAAGAGAGAAATCCAGAGATGTACTGTTAGGTGAAGACAATGAGGGGAGAACAAGGTGCGTCATCGAATGCGATGGATACACAATCGGTGTCACACCGAACTTGTACTATGCACTCCGCCGCTTGCGCCTATCCAAGTATAGACGTCTGCTATGGATTGATGCGCTCTCAATCAACCAGGCCAACAATTCGGAAAAGAATCAGCAAATACCGCTGATGAGCATGATCTATGCCAACGCCCAGCAAGTTAATGTCTGGCTGGGCGAGGACAGTCCCATGATGTCAGGTGCGTTAATTGCCTTGTCAAGATGGGCCCAGGTATGGCGTAGCACCGACGTTGTATATCAACCGGAGCTCCGAAACCGCCTCGTGTCGGGCGGAATATTTCCCTTAGAACGCTATTTCTTTCAGACAATGATACGCCGGGCTTGGTTCACGAGAGCGTGGGCGTTTCAAGAGCTATGCTTATCGAAGCATGCTGTCCTCATGTGTTCACAGTATTCTGTTCCATGGCCCAGATTCCGAGATGCCTGTGCGGCAGTCGTCGGGGCAGGGTATGCTTATTCTGTCTTTGAAGAACAGCAGAATGTTCAGACGCTATGCGACTTCTGGGACCTGACGAGAAAAATGCCCTCTCCCGAGAGTCGGGCATTAGCTGAGCAGTTCCAACTCTCTAGCCTGATACAGCGAACCAGCTCACAACAGGCATCTGACCCTCGAGACAAGATATATTCTCTGGTTGGACTGGCCAGTTCGCCGGCTGGAAACACGACTGTCAGGGCTGACTACAATCTCTCTGTGGAAGATACCTATCGCATATTTACAAGAGCCATGATTGAGGAAGACGGCGACCTTGGCATTCTATCAAGCGTTAAAAGGCCACGGGTGGATCAGTTGCTTGAGGTGAGAGCCTTGTCTCAAGGGATCAGGCCGCTTAAAGGGTTGCCATCTTGGGTACCGGATTATCAGTACAATGACGTGGTCGAACAAACTTATGGACGCCATCATATCAATGGCCGTGAAGGTCCTATTGAGCTTGGCCGAACCCGATTCCCCCAAACCATTGCGCAGCAAAATGAAGGCTTGCCAATGTACCGGCCGAGTAATGAATTCTCAAGCCGCGTACTGAACGGAAGCATCGCATTCGACACGGACGATCAAGGCCAGCTCGGCGTTTACGGTAAGCATGTAGGGAAAGTCCGTGCGACCTTCTCGATGCCTTTTACCAGTGATCCGTCGCTGCGGGCCGGATCTCTATCTCCGAAAGAAGCAAGGCCGGAGAGATCGCCACCAAACATCCGCTTCAACTTCGACTTCAGAGAGAAATTCGTGCGGTGGGGGTTTGGAACAACAGTGTTGCCCGATCCTGTCCTTGAAGAAGAGCGATACCGCCACACAGGCGAGAACACTGCCATGGCCGTCTTGCGCACGCTCACTGCCGACATGCTCCCAATTTCACACCGTCTGCCAGACTCCTACAAGGTGACCTATTTCCCGCTCCACTACGACTGGTACCTCTGGAATGACCCGAAGGAGATGCTACGCACAATCCTCATCTTTCTCGGCTTGTCCTTCCACATCGCTCCACCGCTGATTTTCTTCTACCTTGCGCTGCGGAGCTTCAAGCTTTTCGAAGCGAACCGCAGCCTCCACCATCGGAAGGGGAATCCCCTCAAACCTTGGAACGCATTCGACACGTACGCGATGCGATGGCCTTGGAAAGCGCGCTCGGTGTACGAGGACATACTGCTAGATCCCGAGACATCACTATCCAACGACGAAAGTCACGGCAAGGACAAAGCGCTGAAAACCTACCGCCACTACTTCGACCGCGAAAAGATCACCGGGGCCATCGCCCTCTCGCTCGCCTCCGTCCCGCTGATAGCCTGGTCCGGCATAACCTTCCCGGTCCTCTGCACCCTGTGGAAATACTCCGCCCTCGCCGCCACGGCGCAAGCCGCCGTCTTCGCCGCCCTGACCTGGCGCACCCGGCATATGCGCTCTGCGGAGCCATCGGCCGAGGTCCCCGCCGGGTGGGAAGAGCGCGCCGCCCGCGCCAGCAAGCACCGGTTTTGGGGCCTGGCGTGCGAGGTGCAGCACGCGGTGAACCGGACCAGTTGGAACCGGGTGTTTTTCGTAACTGAGGAGGGGCATATGGGCGTTGGGCCTGTGGGGATGCAGACCGGGGATCGCGTGGTTGCGCTCGTGGGCGGCGGCGTCGTGTATGTGGTGCGCAGGAAGCTGGGGGAGGATGCGAAGGGGGATGGGAAGGTGGAGAAGGCGAAGGTGCGCGGGAAGATGAAGAAGGGGCAGTTGCCGCATGAGCTGTGGGAGTTGGTGGGCGAGGCTTATGTCCATGGCGTTATGGATGGGGAGGCCTGGGGTAAGTATGAGTATAGGGAGTGGGATGATTTGGAGAATTTGAAGAGGATGGCTACGAAGATGGTTTTGGTGTAGGTTGCACAGGTTTGGGTTTGTGGTTTATGTGGTGTATGTTTTGAAGGTATTGTATTGAAACGGATGCATTCTTCTGTCGATTTTCTTGTCGGATATACTATCTTCTTTCGCTGTTCAATGCTGACACATCAGGCTGAGACACGCTAAGCTGGCAGCTGTGTAGCATTGTTAGGCTGTGGTACTGTACGACCAAATTGCTGCCTGCTGTTGCCTTCTGTGCAATGGGTGCCGCGCCCTCTGCAGACGCCAGCTTATCAGGCTCGCGTTCTCCCCCTTTTTTTTTTTTTTTTTTTTTTTTTTTTTTTTTTTTTTTTTTTTTTTAACTAAAACCTTCCATTTCTTTTATCGCCACTTTATTTGCCTTGCTCCACACAAGCTTTTCAATCAAATGGAGCAACAGAATGAAACAAAAAGCTTCATCACACCCTCTCTGGACGACGAAGGGACTCGCAGGTTGACACGCGACTCTTTCTTGTCGATCCCGTTACACGACGTTCAAGACTCCGCCGAAACACTCCACAACGAAAATGTACTACGAACAGAGACTTTGCCGGTGAAAGCAGCTTCCAAGCCGAACAATTTCCAGCGATTTGGCATTGAGTTGGTAATAACTAATATCATTGCCGTCGTTTTACTTCTTGGTGCCTTTTCAGCTTTAACGTTTCTATGGTTTGGAGGAGACGCAAATGTGAACTGGCGTAAGGTAATGTTGAATGGATGGATAGGCCAAGCAGTTACTTTATCAACAATTGCAATCCGGCTTGCTGTTTCAATACAAGCAGGTACAGCGGTAGCCATGCTGGCTTCAACTTCCCTTGAACCCACCCGCAACGGCGTGCTCCTTCGACAAGCGGCCAGTCTGTCACTTATGCGAAATACAAACACGGGCCCGATTACATCTCTCTGGCCATTCTGGAAGGACTTTCGCTGGGGAAAAAAATACCTGGGTGTTTTCGGCCGTCACTCTACTTGGAATTACCTCCCTTGTGTCACAATTCACATCAACACTTTTGCTGTGGGATGTCCGCACCGGAAATGTCCGTGGATTTGCCGTAACAAATGAAACACGCACCGGCTTTACACTGCAAGATTACGTTGACGGAACTCCCGCAAGTATCCCCAAGGAACGCAATTACTGGGAATTAATGCCTCGGGAGTTTCCAGTATTTGCGGAGTGGTCCGCGAAGCCAGATGCCCTCCCAGTCTCAATTGTGGATACTGGCCCAGTCGCTCGAGCATTTTTACCCGTCAATATTGAAGACTCCAACATTGTGCAGTTTGAGGGGACAGGCTCGTTATTCGACGCACGGGTAGTTTGTGTTCGACCCGTAATTGAAGCAGTGGAGTTTGACGACTACTGGACCCAGGGATATGTATCACTTGGACCACTTCTGGAAGACCTGTCCAAAGTTCTCAGATATAATGGAACGCGTGGTTTTGTGGACGAACTCGGGATTACGCCATCAGACAAATTCACTCAAGAATCGGGGCCTAACTTACAGTTCCACGGACTATCGCCAACGTTCGGTGGTCTGGTGAACCAATTCGACCCGACAATTAATAGCACAATCAAAGTCAATTTCCCTAGCGATTGGTCATCAGAGACATTGGTCGGAACCTTAGCCAACATTGATACGGGAAGCAGAAATGACCAGGCCGGCGATGACCTTCAGTGGCATATCGAACTTGGGCACGCGTTCCTTTTTATAAGAAACAAAGGATTTCAACATATATGGGCTAATTCTGAAAGTTCACATGGGGAGCACCGTAACGCCACATTCCATGAGAGAGGCTCATGGCTCGTATACATGCCTAATACAACTGACATCCCTTCCTTCGAAGCATCATTATGTTTTGATTCAATGTGAGTGCTTATAGAGTCTTATACGCAGTAACACTGATTGTATGGCAGGTACAATCAACTCTTCTCGTATAATAGATATTATCACCCTCAAGATTTTCCAGTTACCGCACGAAAGAGGAGTCTGAAAACTGATTTTGAAGATCCTGCTCCTAAATGGGATTCCAAAAATAATAAATACGATACAAGGAGATTACCCCAGCATCTCGGTGCCGCTGTCCCAGATTCTTATGAACGAAACGTCTTCGACCTTGATATTGACAGTGTGAATGAAAAGATGGAAGAATACATTGATCAGTGGGATCCAGATTTCAAGGCTGCAATCGAAGACTGGAGTAAGAACCTAAAGTGAATCTTATTGACAGACCAATCAATGACATTTCGCAGATGATATGGGAAGTACCATTTATGTCAATACCTCACAACGCGACATTCTAAGAACAAACAAAGATATTCTTAACCTAACCGGCTCAGACTACCTGAAGACGATGTACGCAGACTTTCTCAACCGTTTGCTATGGAATCCGACCGTGACACCCACCGATATTGTGGAGGCCACATTCAAGGCAGGATCTGCGCGTACCAATGAGCCTGATAGTACTTCCGACAAACTTGATGAGAGTTACCTCCTTCTCCATCCTGTTTCGATCGCACTAGTAGAAGACATACTAGAAGACACGGATAACCCAGCGCTCGCATGGCAGGCACTAACAACTTCGTTGATGGGCGCGGCCTATCGCGATTGGGCTCCTTACTTCACTGTCTCCGAGCCAGTTACCACAATTCTTGCTATATCAACGCAATTTCCTCAGCACCAGAAAGGTTTCTGGATCGTCGTCGGGAACCTCGTTGCACATTTCGCTTTGGTCACAACTGCGTTCATCTGGTTCCTCAGATCCACTCAATACAGCTTGCTCAACAATCCCTGGCAAGCAGTATCGCAGCTGATAGCCCCGGAGACGAAAGAACTCTTGGAAAACGCCACGATGGCCGACGGCAAGCAGGTCCAGGAATGCATCCGTGCTTCTGGCAGGGAAGGCTTGAGGTTCAAGATCAAAAAGGAATCGGAGAAAGACCGCGTTTGCTTGTTGCTTGCTCAACAGGTTGATGGCGATATCAAAACCCTCAAACAACAACCCAGTCAGGAGGACATAGAGCTGGTTACTCGAGCGAGTAGTGTCGAAATTGGTGGCTTGTCGCGGCGCAGGCAGGAGCAGGTACAGGAGGATAGTGAGTAGTCAATGAGGTTTTCCATATTTTCTTCGATTTCATAGCATATCGCCAATATTTTATGGCAAACTGAATTCCGCTTGTTGTCTGAGGGGACACTGATAAACTATTTTTCGTTGCCAGTCATCGGAAAAGGCCAATGCTTGAGCAGGTACTTTTGTACTCATATCAACTTCATACTGTTCTAGATCATCTCCACATATAAATTTATGGCTACTACATATCCATTACATTAACCTGTTTGGCCGTTCTCAAGAAATCCTACACTTGTCCGAAGATGGGATAGTATTCGGACAGCCAGGCATATCACCGATGCTGCTAGCATGGTCACTGCCCCTAAAAGGAGCGACAGAACCAGAAGCAATTGTCCCTTTCGCGTTTTGGTCATAGACTTGGAACTGCATACCCCAAGCATTCTTCAGGTCAGGCATATAACACTCGACTTCCTTGTCCATCTGCTGGAAGTCCGCATCCTTGTTCAGCAAGTAGTGCTGCTGGCCATCATTGTAGCAATCAGTGAAGTCGAGGCCGCCGGAAGTAAAGTACTCGTCACTGTAGACTTCGCGCTTAGCAGCGGAGCCCTCGCCTCTCTTGTGGCCGAAGCCAAGAGACATGACGGCGTGGTCCTGCTCATATGCTGTCATTGTAAAGTGCATACTGGTGTTGTGGTGGTTGTGCATGTGGAAGACGGGCCAGTGCGTGCCGTTGGCCAGATTGAGGCGCGCGAGCTTCGGGTGATGGTGCGGCATGAAGCCGTCGAGCGTGACGGGGCGACCAAATAGATCGCTCATCTGGCCTTCCACGTCTGTGACAATCTCGTCACGCTTCCAATTGCCGATTTGGATACCATTCTGAGCCAGTCGATCGTGGATAATTTTGACGGTGGAGGCGCCGTTTTTCGCCGCTGCGATGAAGGTCACGGCTGTGGCGACCGCGCCGTATACGCATTGAATTTGGTTGGACGTGCCGCTGTGGAACTCTTTGCATGCTGTGGCGAGAGACCAGAATGAATAGATCTGGTTGACAGTCCAGGCTGCGGCACCGATGTACCAGAGTAGAGCGCGTTTGGTAACAGGGTTGCTGTGCTGCTCGTAGTCGTGCATTTTTTGCTCCAGATGTTGGAGCAGATCGCGCTCTTTGCTGAGTTGAATGGTGTGGTATACGAAAGCAACAACGCCAATGCTTAAAACCACAAGCATAATGAGCATCGCCTTGAGGGTCTTTTTGAGGCGTTGGTTGTTGCTGCTGAGCAGGTGCAATGTCGTCGTTGAGTGCTCCTTGCTGCAGAAGCCTGCTTCATAGTTCTTCTCCATAGTGCGTTTGCGTTGTGGAAAAATGCACTAGTATATGTAGGACGAGTAGGCAAGCAATTTGCTGGAAGAGGCTTCCAAAGATAACGATGATGAGGAGATTTGAGAGTGATGGTGATGGAATTTCGAGACATCTGCGAATACTTATAGTTCCAAGTACCGCAATGGTATCGTTCTTGTTGCCGACTCTTTCAACCCCTCCATGCACATAATGATCCTCTATTATTATGCAGTAAGACGGTGTCTGTTCCAATCTGGTGTTTTGATTTATGAGCTGAATGCAAGTTTGATAGTACTGTTCTCTGGCGATGCAGTGATGAAAATATATTTCCCATTACACTCAGAGCTGAAGCTTAGCGAAGCTTATAGCGTCACATGCAACCAGCAAACAAGGATTGAGAGTCCCAAAAATGGAAATATGCGGGATTTAAGCTCTTACTTGGCACTGCTTACTTGGCACGAAGGCGCAGTACTTTCACTAATTGAAATCTACCTTATGACTTGTCTCGCAACAATTACCAGAATCCCAAGCAGCCTCTAAGCTATCACGGGAAAGTCATAGCAAAACTACAGTACCAGACCGACTGATATGTGATTACGAAGCGACAGTAGACCCACCAACCCCGCTCCCCTCCCCATGATCTCCACATCCATTCTCGCCTGTTTGCGAAAGCAGTAAAACCCACCACCGCAAATAGTAACATGGAGGCCTCATCCGCAGATATGAACCAGCATCGAAAAGCTCTCAGAATCAGCAACATTCAGCTCCTCAATCTTAACCCATCCAAACAGCAAAAACTCCGATAAACTACCCGCCCCCACCTCACTCAGCTTTGCACTTCTCCGCCCCCACATCACCATCAGCGCTACTAGCACCATCACACGCTCCACCAAGGCCACCCTCACCCAACCCCTCCACGGCAACCTCAACGTCCTCGCCCTTTCCCACTGCCTCCATCACGCGCAGCAGGTTCCTTGTCTTCACCGTGACTTCATCCTTGCACTTAACGAGCGGCATGACCGGCCTGAATGCCGCTACTGTCCTCTCCTCACGCAAGGAAACCCGGTCAAGACCTGATTTGGCGATTCCGGTAAGCGTGTCGTCTGTGCTGTTGGTGGATTTCTCTTCCGCATCGTCACCGTCGCGAGTTGTGACAGTGTAAGTAACAGTGATCGTGATGCCCAGGGGCAGTTCCTCCGTGCACTTCGCCCCATCACGAAGCGTAGTCAACAGGACTTTGGAACTCGTGGAGGGTGGCCCGATAGTCAGGGATGTTGATGTGTCGCCCTCGTGATACGGCGAGGTGTTCTCGTCGTGTAGCAGTGCAGAAGCTGGCTCGCCAGGCCAGAAGATCCGCGCAAGAAGAGCATGGTCGTGGAGGATAGTGAGGACAGTCCGGAGGGTAACATTCCGCGCGAGCGGGTATGACTGAGGCTTTGCCGTTTTGGTTGCGCTGAAGACTAAGGTTTTCGGTGAGTATGCACATGTGAGACGTGGTACTGTTGGGGAAGAGAGTGTGCCTACAGGATGCCATGATGAGCGATAGAGACGGGCGGCTTGTTGTTCGGGTGGAATGCTGGGTAGAATGTGTGTGCATAAGGTTCGCAGACACCTAAGTTCATGACCTACGTCAACGAAGTTCACCGCATCAGCCGAGCTTCACCTGCAGATATGTATGCTGGCATCTTCGCCCGATAAATATACCCTTATCCATGCATGTGCAATTGCCTAAACCGCGCAGTAAGCAAGTGATCGGCAAACCGCTGACGGCCGACGTCCGATCCTGTCGAAGATAGGCAACATACACAAAGATCCATGCACATCTTAGTTATAAGCCAAACAAATATTATGAACAAGCACATGCGACCATAGGTCGCGGAGAATTGGGCATCCCCTCCGCTCTGCCATACACAAGCCGCGAACCGGCTGATTAGTAGTTAGGTGGGTGACCACTGGCGAATCCCAGCTGCCGTATGTTTTTGTTTTTTGATGTCTTTGACTTTTTGTCGTTTTGATATCGGATGGTCTGAATCTCTTAGCATTGGCTGTATACAAAGCTCTTCTCGCCTTGAAGGCCAAGTTATGCAAGAACCCACACAAGCCCAACCGTACCTACCTACAAACGCATTCTTAACCATCCAAAACTGCCGAGCAGTTCTGACGCCGTAACCTCTCAACCATGTCTCCATTCCCTCCCTCTAGCACCAACCTACCTCCATGACCCAGTCCCTGCTCTCCCAACCGCAACAAGCACACCCGCAATCACCTCCTCCTTCCGCGCCTCATACGTTGCCACCTCCGCCCCCGTTTTGCTCGCCACCACCGCCCTCGCTGCCTTTCCAACGCGTAAGAACTTGTCTCGGACACTTGGTACCGCCATTTCGCACCCGCGCTGCCGCCCCGACGCCCAGCGGCATAAGCCTGCCATATCAGCGACGATGTCGCGAGCACGCAGGTCGTTGATAGTACCAACGATGCTGCCATCTTCGTCATCGGTCGGGTCCCAAAACAGGAGCGTCGAGCACCAGGCACGCGTGGCGTCGAAGGCGGCGACGTTGTTCGTGCGGGCATATTGTCCCAGAGCGCTGAGCTTGGACTGAAGGGCGTGGTGCGCGTGTGCGTCGCGGTTGATGGCGTGGGCGCCACGGACCCAGGCCAAGAGCTCCGAGAGGAGGTTTGGCGGGGTTGGTGCGGATGCGAGAGAGACGGGGCGTGTGGGCTCGAGGCTAGCTTTGCGGGCTGCTTGGAGAGCGTATTCCTCTCCGTCCGAATCAATTTCGCAGAGGATCTCGGATGGGGTGTTCGGGACGTCGAGCATGTCTCCAGACTCGATAGTGGACGTCTGGTTGGGTTGAGGCACTGTAGGTGGATATGTCGGATGGGACAGTGGATGTGAAGCTGCCGAAGGTGCTGATGGTTCGATAGACGGCTTGGCTGGCCCATCTTCATAAGAAGGCGGCTCAGTTTCCGCTCGATTTCCATACGTCACCTTGTTCCAGTCAACCAGCACCGCATCTCGACCGTCATACATTCCCCAAAGGTTAACTTCGTTCTGTGAAGGACCGCGCAGTCGCCAATGCTCGTGGAGCTTTCTCAAGCCTTGCATGGCGTAGTCACTGTACTTCATGTAAACAGCGAATCTTCGCGTGGCAGACAGAGACTTGAGACCAAGTAGCAAATCGTACGAGGTGGATGTGCTGGGTTTGATGGTCTTGGCGGTCGTCTTAGGCATGACGACGAATCCGGGAGCGGCCAAGTCGAAGCATACACAGATGACACGACCTGAATCGCTTATGTCTGCTTCTTGAAAGACTGCATTACTGAGGCCGGAGGAAGAGCCCAGCTGCGAGGCTTGCATCGCCTCGAAGGTGACAGCAGAAGTAGGATTGCTGCCCAACGCAGAAGGCGGGATAATCAACAACATCTCCCTTTTAAGTGTACGACCAGCTGCCCTGACGGCGATGAAGAGCGACAACAGTATGTGGTGATCGCGGGTTTCGGGATTGAAATCAGTTTGGATAGTAAAGTTGGGTGCCTGCTTGTTGGCGAGTGAACAGGAGCCCAGTGACGACGGGACCGTCGAGTGGGCATCCATCCACTCAACCAATATGCGCTCATGCAAAAGGTTTCCCATTGGAGCTGCCATGGCGACGATGATGCCTATTGATGCGACCAGGTTAGCAAGAATGAAGAGACGCAGCACAGTGGAAGACTAGCCCCCCGCCGTCAAAGCGGGAACTCCCACCCACCCAGGCTTTGATGTGCGGAGCAGCCTTGACTCAAAAGCTGGAGCGTCCACTGCAGCGCAAACGCCGGAGAACCGGGCCACCGCGCGGACCGTACGGAGGGTAGTTCTGAGCGTGCAATCTAGGCGGCGCTGGAGAACCCAACCACCCCATACCAAGGCACCGTGAGGGCAGTTCCGAGCGTTTGGCCGCAGCGGCTCGGTCTGTCGCAAGCGAGTAAGAGCTGGATGCGATGCGTAGAGATGGACAGCAGTCGCGATAGAAGACGCGGAGATGTTGTTTGGTGGTGGAGCTTGGGTGCGCGCGACCGCAAGCCAAACGCGATCGAGTCGGACTTGGCGCCAAGCCTCACGTGCGCGCTCACCGATTACAAAGTCCCCTCCACCGCCTGCTTCATCTCCTCCCCATCACACTGGCTTTGTCTAACACAACACATCAGCAGCAAGGAACCGTTCATTCATCAACCGGCTTGCATCGCACGTCCGCGTGCCAGACCGGCGACGTAGGCGGAGTTGCTCCGTCTACTACGGCGGACCAAATGTGACAGAATGGCCGCAATGCTACGGCTGGTGGAACGGTCTGTTTTCGCTGAACTTTCAGCGCAGGTTCGTGTGGAGACCTTGGGTTTGAGGGACATTTTTGGGGTTGTGGACGGTATGCCTCTTACTATCATTGTTACAGATTGGTAGGGCGTCAAGGCTTATTATGGTTTTTTTCATTCCCTCGATGTTTTGAGTTATACTGCTGAGATTGTCTTATTTTCCTGGCCTGTTTGGACTGCATCTCCCTCTTTTCTATTTCTTTTCTTCAGTATAATTGCACTTCTATTCCCACTCGCCTCTCTCCTCTTCCTCACTTGGCGTCTCAGTCGAAGTCGCCAGAATAACCGAAATATACCGAAAGCCCATGGCAGAACAGCGCAAACGCAGCAATAGCACTAACCATAACCGCAATCTACAACCCACATCAGCAATCAGGTCCCCAAAGGTTTTTACCACACATACCTTCCGTTCATCCGGCTGCCACACGCCATCCTTTATCGCCGCATGCCAAAGCAAGATAAACAACCCCACCAAGAAGAGGTAGATCCCAAACCTGAGCATCATAACCGGAATTTGCCACACAAAGACTTGCACAAGTCGTGGCCGACGCCTCCCCACCGAGTCGTAGTACCCCAGCATACCCCTCACCCGCGACAGATGCTCTGGGTGGCTGTTGAATCGGTACAGCATGATGCTTTGCTGCGTCGCACTTGCAATGCTAGCCACGATGAACATTAAGCCGCCGTACCAGCACGCTTGGATAGTCCAAGTCGTATTTTGTGTAGTTGGCCATTGCATTGCGCCGCTAATGAGGCTTGCGAGGAGGGCGCTCTGGCAGAAACGTTAGGGTGGTCGGAGAGGGGGTGGTGCTCTTACGGTCAGCCCGGTGAAGGAGAGCTCAGCGAGCTTCGCCTCGTACCATTTTCGCGTCAAGTCGTCTTGGTCGTTCGTTGGGTCGAGGAGAGACTTGATAGGCTCCCAGGCTACGATCCAAGGGCTTGCTATCTCTGCTGCGAAAGATTTAACGCTGCTCAGTGGCACTTTCGGGGGGTTTAAGGGTGCCTCCATTGCAATTTTGGGGTAAGATCGGATGCGTATCAGTTCTTGTTCTATGATTCCAGGAGTGTGAGCAGCTAATGCTCGCTAGTAGTTTACCAAGGTATTTATGTCACGTTAAGTGCAAGTCATACAAGCTTAAGCCTCGCTAGGTAAGCGACATATTATTAGCATTGGTTGTGGAACCATTGACACATTGGAATGAACTCTGGCTTTGTATCACAACACCGGTCTACGCTTACTGTGTAGTCCAGACATGGCTTACCGCATGAGCAAGGCTCCGTACTCCTTAGCGCTGACCGGTGACCCAGCCATACATTGCTTTTCTGTGGCAATGTCATTGCTTGCATCTCAAGAACTCAGCCGCAGAAAAGCTCCCAAGTTTCTCCAGCATCAAGCCATCAATTACAAGCTCACTGTAGCGTATTATCGGTCACGTTCAACCGCGCACTAAACAACATGAAACTCTTCAAGCACAAGAATGCACGGAAGCTGCCTGCTGCTTCCGCTCTCCAATCTGCAACGATTGCCGGGAGTGGCAGCTCTGGTGTCGTTGCTTCGGCGTCGCATTCGGGGTTGCATTTTGTTGACAACTCGCAAGGCGCTTCGCAAGCGGTTAAGGAACTTTCGAATACACTCGACGAATCACTAAATGAGATTGAGGTCTATGGTAATAGCTCGAATTATGTATAGCGTGTGAACCAATGCGAGCTCTGACGACTTTACAGGTACTGTAGGGGATCGCCTTGAAGAGTACCAGGACCGGCTTGATAGAGAAGCCAGCAAATACTCGAACTCGTCATTGAGCTGGTGTAAATCCAAAGAGGAGTGGTCGTGGTATGTCAAATTCGATTGCTTCTAAGCATGGTTTAATATTCTACAGCAACCAGAACGATGCGGATCTCATCTTTGTCGCATGGACTTGTGCGGCAGGCGCCTACGATGTGACCCCCGTCACGAACTCGGAAAAGTGTACCTTCGATCAAAGAAAAATAATCAAGCCTTCATTAGGTGGAACAACCAAAGCGACGGTGCTTACGCTTGTTAAAGCTACTTCGCCTCACGTTGATGCAGAGTCGAGATTCCCTGTCCTTGTCATAGCTGTACGTGGGACAGCAAGCACAGTGGACAACATGGTAAACCTAAATGCCGCTCCTCGGTCTGCAGAAAGTTATTTGGTAATCCTAACCAACTGAATGTTGGATTCGACAGCAACTGACAGTTTTTCAGGGACAAGGCTGTGGCATCAAGGCTCATTCAGGATTTCTCGGTGCTGCGGAGGCCATTGCCAAAGAAATATCTGAGTGCATACAGCAAATCTGCCAAAATCAATCAGTCAGCCATGTGCTCTTCACAGGCCATTCCGCTGGTGCTGCGGTCACTTCTCTGCTGTTCTTGCATTGCCAAAGGCTAAGTAGGATAACCAGGAACCAATGAAAAGCACAAGTGACAGGGTTGCTGATATTTTAACAGATATCCAACCTCGCGTTTCGTGTATCACTTTCGGAGGACCTCCCGTAATGAAAGCACTAAATCAAGATAACTTGGCCAACCCGAGCAGGACGTACTTATGGATCAACGTTATCAACGAGTACGATCTCATCGCGCGTGCCGATAGACCGTATATTCGATCTATCGTGGACCTTTTTCGGTCGATGTATGGACAGCCAATTTTGTCAGATGTTGATGAAAGACTCGCTATGCCCGAGGGTGCTTTACATGTATCAGGAAGTTGTACGGATGGAGCCAAAATTTACGAGCGTTGGCTTCTCCCACCGCCGGAGTACTGCCATTACGGGGATATTATCGTCCTTCAGCATACTCTTCGTCCACTTAATCCTAATGGGCAAGATGATCTGACCACAGATGGCAAATTGATCCTGAAGGCCTGGAAGGTCAGTTGGGCAGAATTCTCGCAACTACTATTTGGCCGCGTGGCTGTGCATAGTCGGGAAAACTACCAGAAGAGAATTGTCAAAATTGCCGGTGGAGCACTAAGCAGGAAATATCCGTAGAGGTCCAAGACTTTGCTCGGAATGGAGGTGTTTCACTGCTGTTCTACAGACCTTAAAACCAATATCGTTGTGTCTACTAAGGATTCAAGCCGCTGCTGCCTCACTGGAAGAACCATACATGAGAAAGCCCGGCTTACCCCTCTGACGCGCCAGCTCCACAGCCCTGTAGTACGAGACAAGGATCGCTGTACGCCTTGCGGCATCTCTCCTCCGTTCCTTATCCATCTTCTGACCCTTCAGCCTCTCCACCTCGGACAACACAGCCTCGCAATCCCAGCAAAAGCACAGGAGGTACTCGCGCCCGAACCGCAAGTAAAATAATTCACGGGTCCTGTCTTCCCCGCCCTTGAGCACAGGCGCGCCGAGCTTGTCATTATGATCAATGAACTTTCCCGTGAGTTTTTCCATGTCTGATTGGTACTGTGCGCTGGAGCACTGATGCGTGTGCCATACGAGGTCGATGTCGAGCGTAGGAACGAGCATGGTGCCAGGGTATGTTTTTAGCAGGTGGGTGAATTTTTGGTAACGGTCGATTGCGCGGCGGAGTGTGCCTTCGAGAGCAGGACTGCGAATCCAGAGGTGCTGCTCCATTTTTGTGATGAAAGAATACTGGCGCTCGATGGCTGCTAATATTTCGTTCACGACTTTCTTGTTTTTAAAGAATTGCACGGCCTGGTTGAGAGCGTCTTCTATGATGTCGCCGACTGGTTTATTTGTGGTGCTTTGTGTTGCTGTAGGATTTTGGCTCCTACCGTTGCTTCCCAGGGTACAGTACTCGATTTCACAAAGAGCTTGTGTAGGATTTTCGGCAAGTAAAAGCTCTAAGAGGTCGGAATGCAGTTTCGAGTTTGAAGTGAAATTTGTCTTCTCTTCTTCTGGCAAGCGGAACGTCCAATCGTTAGGATCGATTGAGGCATGCTAATCACTATCAGCAGCTAAAATCTTGTCATAGTTTAACATGGAAATTATTTATCCATACCACTGTTACCCATGGAAAACGGATGCTTCGGAAGCTCTCACGCCTCAGCGTTTTGCATAAGACAGCAAAGTGTGCTGGATTCAGAAGGCATGCTTGCCATACCATGAGAATGTCTGTATTACCGTCAATCACAACTCTTCTAGCGAAACGGATGCTGAAACCCCCGTACCGAGTGGTGGTGGTGTGGCGTCCGTTTCTATCCAGCGCAGAAGCCTAATCACAGAAAAGAGCGAGTAGATGGCCCATCGTTTCTTCATGATTGATTCCAGTTGTTTTTCATCATTCGTTGTTTTGCCAGCGAAGTTGATTGGCGAGAGTTGTATTCTTTGCCGTAAATGATACAAAGCATGCAAGAGCTCAAGGTGCACTGCACATTCTGATACCTTTGGCCAGACTAAACTTTCTGAGTACGTCTTGGACGAGCCGAGAGAAGAAAAGATTTCAGGTGCTGGAATCTGACGTTCCTCGGCCTCGGAAACAGAGGAGGTTAAGAGAGAGGGCTCGCCATCGCAAAGAGCGTGAATGGCTCGTTGACTTGAGTGATGAAGTTGGAGACCGGTGTAAAAAGCCATATTTTCAGATACAGGATGGTTCTCTCAAGTCGATCTGAACTACGTAAAGTGACCATTTTGTAGAGCCGAGGCATTGACAGGATAGTCGTACAGGATGTGTAGTACCAATAAGGCAAATGTCAGCTTACTTTTGTGGTACTGTACGACAGCTAAGAGGCGTCATGTGCCATTCACTGTGCTACCAAATTGCTGAAAACTAACGTCGTACTAGCAGGCTGGATTATTTTAGTCATTAGCGTATATAGCCAAAGGATAACAAACGTTGAGTTATCCTTGAGTTCATTCCTTGCCTCATCTTTGACAGCATGTCGTCCTCCATCCCTCATAACCGCGTCTTTCGGTCTCCAAAGAACATCTCCAAGATCAAGAAGTCCAGCTGGGTGCAAGTGGGGTTTCGCAAAGAATCTTACATGAAACAAATCGAGAGTTTGTATTGGGATGGAGTGAAACAGGAATTGCGACTTATACTGTTGACGTTGAAGAAGTTGCAAGAGCCGAAGTTCTGCTCAATCTATAGGCAAGAGAAAGAACAGAACGAATGTCTATATGGATTTGAAACATTCGTAGACCAAGTCAGTCGCAAATCGCGTGCATTTGCGGACACTTATTGTAGGTTTCCGAACTTTGGCCTTGGTTTGAAGCTGACATATTCCCAGCCCTAAAAAAAAGAAAATGGCTGTCTTCGCAACAATGGTTGTCTACTTACGAAGATGCTTTGTATGACAAGATTTGCTCTGATGAAGCAGACCGTGATGGTGCTGCTTTGAAAGAGGCAATTAAAACGAGAATACAAGAAGCAGCAGACAAAGATGGTCTGAATGCGACCGAAAATCTTGCTAGGATGCTTCTTCAGAGTATTGGTAAGCGACACCAGCATGCAGTCCAAGATATGTGGTTAACAGAAAGAAGGTTTTCTTGACATTGAAAAGATTATTGAGCACCGACCCCCGCTTAAGCATCTCAGATTCTGGAAAAGGCCAGCTATCCCGCAAAGTAAGTATCCCCATGTCATTGCTACATCGATATGCTCTGAATTTCTAATGAACTTCAGTGTCGCTTGATAATATCTCAGACGACTTGAGCCTCGAATTCAAACCACAAAATTGTGCCGAGTGCCTAGAACCTATCCGCGGCAGTATGTTCATGCATCAACCTCCATCAAATGCAGATGAGCATTCAGAAAACCAGAAGCTTGTATGCGAAGAGTGTTATCGAAGCACACACTACGGTGACAAGTCCTATACCAAGGTCTTCAAGCACTGCATATTATCGCATGCATTGAGCAGTGATCTGAGTCAACGGATATGTGACTGTCCTGAGGTCCCACGAATTGACATTGGAGGCCACCCCAGGAAGCTATTTCCGGTTGGTGCGCGGGAAAAGCATGTCAACTTAGGGAACCGCAAGTGCGGATTGCTCAAAGTGAATGCACGTCTTGCGCATGCAAAGTTTCTCACACTACGAGGCCGTAACTTCAACCGAACACGCACAACAAGGCTAAAGACTTTCTTTGACTTTAGACCACACCTCAAGCCCAGGACCAAGGAAAGAGACAAAGATAATAAAGAAAATGGCCGAAGAGAAGATGGAGAGGCCGACTGGGAAGATATTTTGAAAGAAGACGTAGACCTTGATTCTTTTAGCACAGCATTCGGTGTAACGGATATGCAGCAGGCGGACAAAGAAATTCCTTTCTACCTTCGGAAATACGCTCAGAGATATCCCTTCGGCAATGTTCATATGGCACTACGTATCGGTCCGTTGATAGTCGAAAATGGAGTGGCAAAGTAAGCAGTTAACCCATTGACTCTTACGTGCGCTAATAAGACATAGTACTAAAAGCGGAGCTGTGATTTCCTTGAGAGATTCTCCACACTTTTTCTCAGCCACCGAACCCAAGTCTGAACGTATTCTCGCTGTAGAGTCAACGATTCCTCGATTTCTTTATCAACAAAATAAAATCAAAAACGCGCATCCAAAACGGATCAAGGCCGTTATGAAACAAGTCGTCGGGGTCCCATTTATGGGCATTTCCAATGTTAAAATGGAGAATCGGATTATCAAAGAACTCGTCTCGGCCAGCCAAAGCGGGTTCGATGATCTTGGTCTTTCCAGGGCCGAACAACAGCAATTTCTTGACCAGGTCCTTGGAACCCTCATCGATTCCCTAAAAGAGTTGATGGGGTGGAGGCTTGAAGTATACCTAGACAGCCTAGTGAGGACACTTCGACACCCTCGCACTAAGCTTCGATGGGATGTCCAAAGCAACAACTGTCAGAATTTCTGCAATTCACTGATCGATTATGAGCTGTTTGCCCCACTTGTTGACCAAGTGGAATTTAGTGGAGCAAAAAAGGCCGACACTGCTAGCACAGCACCACTTTATCTTATGAGCTTTGTATGTCGGCCAAATGCATATGACAAGTTCAACAACACAGACATCCAGTCCAAGTTCGACGTTCCGAATGGCCTCACTGAAGAATACGTTCTGAAGTATCGTTACGGACTACACGAGGACTCTGACATTGTCGATAGTCTTCAGGAGTACTGGCACGACTGGGGTGCTTTTGGCAAGCACCTCTACCGATTTCAAGATCTTTTCCCTTGGGACTGTAGTGAAGCCTTTGGTCGCAATCCAGTGAAATGTGGCAATTGTAACATTTCAAAACACGTCTGGGCCTTTCCATTCGACTCATGGTCTATTATCTCACTCCATCTTGGGAGGGACCGGGTGTTATACTCCTCCCAAGACTCTGAGAAAGCGACGCAAATATCAGACATAGAGTGGTATCACAACAGGATGACACTACTAAGAGCAGGTGACGTCCTCGCTTCATCCGCTGTCGCAATGGCTTGCAACAAAGGCTTCCGAAAAACCACAAAGTGGCTTCATGAGCAAGCAAGCCCACGAAATGACCGCTTAAAGCTCGGGGGGATCCATCGAGCACAGCCCTGGAGTAACTGCTTCTACAGCGGTGGCTACAATCATTTTTTTACCGCCGCTTGGGCACATTGGAAACGCGAGGACCAGATAATGGCATACGAACGGCTGCGCAACTTCCGAATGGCGATGCTTGATGTCGGTGTACCGCCGCAGAGAAATGATCCAGGCCGCTACATTGTCTTTAGAAGGGGTCGTGCACCTGGCATGTCTGGTGACCCTACACCTGGTCCGTCGTGTAGTGCCGCTGGAGCTTGCGTCAGCGAAAGTTTTGATAGTAGCGGAGAGGGAAATACCAGTAGTTGTCTTGCTGACGGTGGTTGTTCAGCCTTTAGTTGTGGTGCTGGAGGAGCAGACAGTACGGGAGGAGGTTGTGGTGGTGGAGGGTGCGGTGGTAGTGGAGGATGCGCAGGTGGCGGAGCGGGCGGAGATGGCGGAGGCTCTGCAGGAGCCTTTGGGGGGATATCTGCTGGCTGCGGAGGTGGGAGTGTTGGCTGCGGAGGTGGAGGTGGAGGCTTCGGAGGTGGAGGTGGAGGTGGCGGAGGATGTTGATATTATCCAAATTTAACCGGGTAAAAGTACCCATGCTCTGTTACTCTGACCTTTCAAGCAACTATTCAATCCGACGTAGTTAACTTTTCTGAAATCTGTCAGCTCCTCCCTTCAATCAATTACTTTGGAAAAATAGCAATGTTATCTAACATCCTTCAAGTCCTGTACCAGCGAAACAAATCACCTCAGTCAGTTGTCGGAAACTAATAGCAGATAGAAGCTAAACATGTAAAACCCATAAGGCTTACACCTTACACCTTACACAACGCAGATCACTCCACCCGCTGACGCGCGTAGTTTTACCCCGCACACATAAACGGCTCCCCACGGCGGAGTATGCCGCGTACGCAGGTACAACGTTCTACGAATCCAAACCCGAAAAGAGTGTCATCTGGTGTAGTATGCATTTTAAAATGCGGGGCCCCGCACAAGACGTGCATGGTGTCGTGGTCAGATGGCACTGTCGGATGTTTCATAATTTTCCGCCGGGTGTAGGATTCGGAAATGCGGAGTGGTTTCAGCCTTACGCCACTGTTGCATTTTGTTTGTGGCGTTACTGGGAAATTTCTCAGCGACATCAAAAGGGAAGAGTTGAACATTCGGTCGACAACTGTGGTTTTTGCCATCTGCAACTAGCATGTTATGGAAGAGGATAAGCAGCCTTCCCTGTCGAAAAACGTTAGCTTTTGGATACCATCCTCAACCCTGCAACTGCGTCTAAGCGCCACGTAAGCCGCTGGATGGAGGTTGAGGAGAAACAGAGCCGTTAAGTGTTTAGGAAGTGCCGTTACACTATCAATTACGTTTTTGAGCTCGGAGATGAATCCGTGGAGCCAGGTAAAGGCTAAATTATTATCCATGAAGAAATCTTCAGCCTTACCGATAAAGTGGTACCCTACTTTGTTTTAGCTTGTTTACCAAAAACGGCTATGTGGAAACTATAGTTATGATATTCTCCGAATATATTTAAATACATAATAGCAAGTGCCTGTCTCTTATAAAAAAGCCAGATTTATTTTTTGAAGCTATAAAGATCTGCGTCGAAACTTACGCGTCTTCATCAAGGCCACCAGCACACACTGGCTACGGCATCACCGGACACATGCGGGAAAAACTCCAACGAGCTGACTCAAGCCTCTACTCCCCGATTCTCGTCACACCTGCGCAACACATCAGCATGAAGTAAGTGTTCAAGACAGGAAAACGGTGCGGGGGAAAAAGGCGCAGTCAGTCAGGCATTCCGACCACGAAGACCCACGGAGGGGTATATAAAGTGCTCGAATTCCATCACGCAATATCCAGCGCAGATTCCAATATCAGCACCGAACAGCCTACAAACAAATAGCACGCAGACAACCAATTACCATGAAGTACGCTACCATCGCTATTGCCCTCTTCGCCGTCGCAGGCCTTTGCTCGCCGTACTACGAGGAAGACGACAACGACCACAACCAATGCTTGCCTCAATGCCACAGGAGCCAGCCTCACTGCCGCCACGATCACCCTCACTATGTGAGTTGTGTACTGTAGTAAACTGTTATAAAAGCTAATCCTTCGCTAGCCGCACGCGAAGAAGTTCAGAGGTGTACGGGTTCCTTGAATAAATGCTTTCAATGGTGGGACTCAGCTAACAATTACAGGACTGCTGGAGATGCTGCAAGAGCTCCCATGGTGACTTCCGTGACCTTGATGTTGACGACTATGAGGAAGTCATTGGTGAATTTCCTAAGCTTTGATTTTTTGGAGGAATGCTTTGCTGACGAAAGTTTTTAGTCGTCTAGTCGGTTTGAATCGACGATAGGCAGTAGGCTCCAGAGATGGTGCTCTGTTCTCTGAGCGGTTGGTGGTTACAAATTGGACGGAGTGATCCGTCTGCCATTCATTCAATACCTTTCAGGCCTGAAGGTTTTTTTGAAAACACGAGGCGGTTGGAGCGACGGAGGGTCCGCAACGCGTCGATCATTTAGTACCTTCAATCGATTCTTGCTCCTCACTTGTTTCTTTGGGATATGATGTGATTTGAAGTTGCAGAGACCGGGAGAGTGATCAGTGATCCGTATCGCAAGGCTGACACATCTTGCTACTGTATGACGATTAAAATACTAAACGTACACATACTTTTGTCCCATTTGACTGAAAATTAAAGATCTTTGTAGTCCTTCAAAGTGTTGCTAGATTCGTGATTTGGAGCATCTCGTAGCACGCGTCTGCAGTGTGGCAGTGTCCGCATCACCCGTGTTCTTGCTTACCTATGCACATAGCTGGCTATAACCATGCGTACTGGAGACAATTGGCTAAGTTTGTAAGTAGAGAGCCAATAAGATGGTGTCGTAGTACTTCTTGCTCATTAACGTCGTCGCAAAATTTATGGACGCCTTATATTATTAATTCACTGTAATATTAGATACATATTTAATTGTCAAATTCATGCCGTTCCCACGCACTGAAACCTGCAGTTTCACAGAGCAGATAGAGTCTCCTTCCGTACAGTGTTGTTCGGAGCCAAAGTGATACCTGTGAGCAGCTGCAGACCTTGCAGTGCCAGCACCGTCCACAGACGATAAATACCGGCCAAAATCAAGCACCAATTACCATCTGCGGGATCCCTGTCGCAATCATTGGGCTGACGCGCGACCTGCGGGCGCTAGGGCCAAGCGGCAAAAATTTCAACGCCGCCGCCCCACCACCAACCCAAAACGTCACCCAACCCTCCCAGACATCCCAGAAACAAAAAGACATGCTCCGAAGAGCTGTAATGGTCACTACGAGGGTCGAACTCGCGACCTTGGCGTTTAACAGTTTGGAAACTCTTGAGAGAAACCAAGTTATTAGCACCACGCTCTAACCAACTGAGCTAAGCGACCGCTGTTGCAGCTGCTGCTGCTTGATGGGAAAGAGCTTTGCATGCAGTATACATAACTAAAAGCAGAACTAAGAGGCGGCATCGGTGGGGTGCACTGGCGTTGGGTTGGTCCGTCGTGTTGCAGTGAGATCTCTGAGTGTTGACACGAGGGCCATGTTTCCGCACCAAAACACCACACCAAACTCACAGATGCGGAGCGCAAGATACCACTTGAATGAACAGACACTGGTAAAATATCGTTTGCTTTGAGTGCTACAGACATGCCAATCTGATCCAGTTTGCCCGCCAACAGCGAGCAGACAGGGCCGGACTGGCAGAGTCCCAACCACCAACGTCCCTGTCGCGCGATTGAAACAAAGAAGTTTTTTTCTATAGATGCCTACGTAAAAGACAAACCGCAATTCGACTCTTCCTCAAGCCGCGAAAGCAATCGCATTGCGGCATTGAAATTCAAACGGCGGAGGTCGGGTGGAGCGCACAGGCCTTCGCGCACGGGCCGATACCCCCCGGCCCGACCGCAAAACAACCCGGAATTTCACCCGAGGCCAAAAAAAAACTTCACCTCCGCACCACCACCTTCTAAACAACCGCCAAAAAGATTGGTTAGGAATTGAGCCCAACGCGGGGGTCGAACCCGCAGCCTTGAGATATCGCCCTAGAAGGGTGGTAAGAGTCTCACGCTCTACCGATTGAGCTAGCCAGGCGGCTGTTGAAGTGTTGAAGCACCTCAAGCTGTTGATGATGTTTGCAGTTGGCCACGTTACTTATATACTAACAAAATAAACAAACCAGAAGCGCTTTTGTGTAAGTTGTGCCTGGAAAAGACCGAGTAAGGCATGGTAGCTTGCTTGTTCACCTATCACAGACTCTCGAGCATGACATTCCCTTCTGCGGATCTCTTCAAGGATGGTAACCATGCTCAGGTAACTATTAGGATCTCGGAACGCTATGGTAGTGTTGACAGAGCCTTCTGCTTTTTGTGTCGAGTCCTATATTGGCAGAAAATTGAACCAGTTCCCGCTCACGATGTTTCCAGTTGCTGAACGGAGAAAGGAAATGGAAGCCAGAACGTAGAAAAATCGCACGAGTTCCGGAGAGAACATTTCAAGAAGACATGTGCAAGAAAAGGATGCTGGTGGGTGCAATGAAGCGCCAGTGTCGCGAGATCATGCACAAGTCCATGGCCGAGGAAACATATTACCCCAAGCTAAGGCGACGACAGCAAAAGCTTAGCAGCCACTTAAAGCCAGCGGATCACTGTTTGTTAATGTAAGGAAGAAATGTTTATTGTAGTAACATTTGCTAATTATAAATGAGACTGCCTAGCAAATCAGCTCTTCAGTGACGAATTACCAAAGGCTTTGTACGAAATGCACTGCCGGGCCTGTTTCACTCCGTCTTCGCAAACAAAAAACATGTCCGAAGCCGCCCGTGCCTCTGAGAGCCGCTTTCTGTCCGTCAGCCGTGCCCGTGCCCTTGAGACCGAGGTTTACACGTCGGCGTTATTCGCACCCGCACCGACGCCACCGTGATTGAAAACAGTGAGAGCAAAACAAAAGCCGCCATCACAAAACAAAGCACCAAAAGCTCCAGAACCAGATTTCTCTGGGCAAAAAGGTAAACTCGGGTTCTTACGCGACACCTGTGAGATTCGAACTCACGCTCCCGAAGGAACTGGCTTACTAAGCTCTATCCCGAAAGGGAATGCTGAAGTATAGCAGGCCAGCGCGTTAACCACTCCGCCAAAGTGCCAGTGGAAGGATTGTTGATTTTTTCGCTGCCCAACAACCATTATGTCAACAACAAACAACAACAATGCTCAGAGCTGCCATCGCACGATGTTTGACTTAGTTCGCATGCCCTTACCTTGTTTTTCTATTCTTTGTCCGGTAAAGGAAACGAGGAAAATCGCAACGAGAAGATGACCTGTGTTTTCCAGGGAAATGCGAGCATGCAAAAAATGCGACAGGGCCCAATCGCACCGTGCCTGCAAACGTGAAGCAAAAATCAAACGTGCGTGCTCATTGTCAAGCAGAAGCGCAAATTGCGATAGGACGACACAAGATCAGGCGGTTCCTCGAACAAAGAACGGTACATTGGCAGACGGATATGAAAAACAAAGCAGACTACAACGACAAAACTGGCTACCTACTGCGACGTTCGTTTCCCGGGTCTGGTTCGTGATCGTCTCTTCTCCGGCTTACCGGGACGGATCGCGCTGATTGCGTCTTATCGCATCGCATGTCTTCCCCGCTGGTAGGTACGGTCGGCATCCAAGGGACCGCAACAGATGTCGGAAACAGTCGGTTTTTAGACTCTCAAGGAATCCTCCTTTGAAGCACTAGTAGATGCTCGGTGCTCAAAAAATGCGCAACTCTCCTCGGTTTGTTGATGCAGGGAGAAATTGATGTCCGTCCCGTGAAAAGCCGGCCATGTGCAGGTCTCGGGTTCGTCCAATATTTTCCAGACTGCGAAGATGTATCACAGAAGAGTGTCCAGACTATCACGCTGTGCAGGAAGATTAAGTAGAGAAGGATGGCGGATAAAGTCCTGAAGCCGCAGAGTATCAAATTTTGCGGCAGTGAGAGGAAAACCACCAGAGGGTAAGCGAGGGATAGCGGCGTTGCTGCGGTAATGTTTAATATCATGTGACGAATATTTTTGGAACTTTTAGATGCGGTACCCAGATGTTCGTACCAGTATCATCACCTATGTGGCATAAAGGCCATATCTTTAGTAATGACATCTTTCCTTTCTTTCAAAATTGCTAGTCATGTACTTGCCTGCAAGCCCATATTTCCACGTGACCAGGCCTTACAAGCTCCTTTCCGCAAGCTAGCCTGATCATCCGGCAACTCCTTGGTCACCCTCTGAACACAAGGCAAACAGGCAACGGCATGCCACAGAGCCTAGATCGCACAAGGTGCTGTCCTGGACAAAGAAAGCTGGAAGCCGAGACAAGCAGTGGAACACCCGATCACCTTTCCGCCCATCAACACTGCGAGGCGGTATCACGGCTGTCTATCCTGTAGTACTATGCGACTCCTGCGATAAACACCTTCGGTGTCAGTGTGACATGATCGTTGCGTGGCCGCTGATGAGGCAGAAAGAAGGCAACGGACACAGCCGCGTTTGTGTTACCGTATATTTGAATTCGGATCCGAACTCGGGTCCGAGTTGGCACGGAGGTCCGCCTTCGTGATCTTTAGCATCCATCACTGAATCGGCTTTGAATGGTAAGTGATTTGCAGCGCTCGATAAAGGTGGAACTGCTTTAAGGAACTAGAAAGAGAAAGGTGGTAATGTCTTAGGTACGTCTTCGATGAAAAAA